AGCTGACATCCTCCTACATGTCCACATGCAATGGCAGCGTCAGGAGGATTCTTCCTTGGAGCACAGCCTGAGAGCAACACCAGAGCTGTGACTCCTACCCAGCACGTCGTGCCACAGCATGTACATTTTCGCAATAAACTCAAGAAGACAGACAAGGCAGACGAGGTGGCCGAGTGGTTAAGGCGATGGACTGCTAATCCATTGTGCTCTGCACGCGTGGGTTCGAATCCCATCCTCGTCGGCAGGTGAAAATTTTCTCCCCTCTAGGCTCTGTCCTTGCGAGGTCCCACCTGCAGCACCGCGGTCACATCAGGTCTGGGGGCCGCAGAGCAAGAAAGACACGGAGCTGTTGGAGTGGGTCCAATGGAAGGGCCCACAAAGACGATCAGAGGGCTGGAACCATCGCTCCTACGGAAGGAAGGAAGCCTGAGGGATCTGGGCTTGTTCAGTCTGGAGAAGGCTCCTGGAGACTTCACTGCGGCCTTCAGGTGCCTTGAAGGAAGTTGTGAGTAGGAGAGCAGAAGGGAAATTCTTACGTGTTCTGGAAGGGGGGAACAGCTTCAAACTAAGAGGGGAGATTCAGGTTAAGTGTTAGGAGTAAATTCTTTACAGGGCAGCGAGGCGCTGGCACAGGCTGCCCAGAGCAACTGGGAATGCCCCATATTTGGAGGATTTCAAGCCAGGCTGGATGGGGCCCTGGGCAGCCTGAGCTGGTGAGGGGTTGCCAGCCCATGGCAGAGGGAAGGAAACTTAAAGCCCATTCAATTCCAACTGCAACCAAACCTTTCTATGACTCTGTGACTGCAAACACCTCTACTGAAAAGCCCCTCAAGGGCCCCTCAATGCCTCAGGATGGCAGCCAGCTTTGGAGGTTTTACATTTTAGTGGCATGAGGCAGATTTCAAAACAAGCTCCTAAATATGAATCCCCATCAACTGCTCAGCAAATGGGAGCCCAAGAAAACAGCCTGTCAGCACCTATGGCTCAGCAGAACCCGGCAATGTAGTACAAGGGATTCAGTAACCAAGATGTCATCGTTGCTTTGCTGGTTCTAGCCATAATGCATGTGCTGGTATTTCACTGTTTCTTCCTGAGGACAATCTGAAGCAGAATAGTGAGTCTGCAAGCAGGCAGCACTTACAGGCATGGCAAGTCAGGAACTGCAAACAGTTATTCATCACAAAAGCAAAGATCACTTTTAAGGAAGAACTATATCCTGAAAGTAACTACTGTGACAGTTTAGTCAATGGAAAGCACTGAGCAACATCTTGAAACAATAAACAAAGGACCATTCATCACACACTAGTAGGATCATTCCAGACCTTGAAAAAAAAAAAAAAGGAAAGACCACCAAAACTACGATTTTGCATAACCCAATGACTGAGGTCTGTGATTAATCCACTTTGCTCAGGCTGGCTCTCACTGCTGCATTTCAAGTCAGTGCTCTCCAAACTGCAGCGCCAGGGTCAGCAGCAGCAGGGTCTGTGAGCAGCACTCACCCCTGCTATATCTTCACTTGAGGTCCCTTCCAACTCAAACCATTCTCTATGATCCTATGAAATCCTTCCAACAAGGACAAGGAAGGGTAAGATCAAAGCAAAATTTCAACATCAGTATCACCAGTACATTCTCCAAGCAGCATCCTGGAGGAAGAAGTGAATTCAAATATTAAGTTGTAAATATTTTTAAAGTAGCAGATAGGCTTTTGGCACCCAAGATAAGAAATTTCTAAAAGCACTTGCATTTACTACATCCACCCTCAAAAATCCCATTTGAAAACCAAAGCTAGTTAAAGCCCCAATTCCAGAGAACTGGGGGTAAATTTTAGAAGCAGGAAACCATCAAGCAAGAGACATTATCTGTAGATTAAATCATCTTCCTTTGCTGGGCTTCCACAAAGTCAACTCAGAGAACCATAAAGAAAGTTAAGATTTCAGAAGAAAAACTACATTGTCAAATTTATTTTACAGCTTGTAGCTTTTTTTTTTTTTTTCCTTTAACCAATAAATAGTTGCAATTCCTTTATTTTCTGCCAGCTGGAGATAGACTTGAAAACTGCTGCAAACCTGTAGTATCAGTGTTTGCCTGTGCTGGGCACCAAAAAATTCCTCTCCAGTGAGTGCGAGGGGTTACTCATGGCTGGAACATCCCTGCAATGTGCCAGGGCTGCTTTTTCACTCTCATGTAACCACAGTAATACCGACTTAGCACTGCTGTGACTTTTACAATGCTGTTACAATCTCCAAATCAGCTATGCATGTTTGAATCATACAAACACTTGTACGCCCAATGACACCACTTTCACAATCAGCTGAAACCTTTTTTTAATTAATGATCACAGATTCAGAAAGGTTGGAAAAGACCATGAAGATCATCATGTCCAACTGTACACTCAACGCCACAATCCTAATAAACCATGTCCCTACATACAGACCTCCATGTTTCCTGAAAACCTCCAGAGACGGTGATTCCAACTCCTCCCTGGACATCCTGTTCCAATGCCTCACCACTCCGTCTGACAATAAACTTTTCCTAATATCCAACCTGACATAAAACGCATTTTCCTAATATCTAACTTAATACCATGCATCTATCCACAGACCTACAGGTAGCATGGATCCAGAGCAATGCAACACAGAGTAAGCAGCAAGGCCAAGTGAGATGCATTGAGATGCAGCTGCATCCCAGGTTTGCCAGTCCATGTCACCTGCATGGTGTCAGGCTCCCAGGTGTGAAGGGTCTCTGAGCTGAGTCAGGATGAGCAGGACTAAGTTTGCAATGGGCAAAGCAGTACAGAAAGTTTGGGTGTATCTACTGCAGCTCGTCTGCAATCCTAGTGGCAATGAAGAACCATGTAATGTACAGCACTGCTGCTGCTCTAAATTACCCAGTGATGGACAGGTTTTGTTCCATCCCTGAACAAACATTTGCAGAAGCACCAAAGGAACTGCATCACAAGAGCAAAGCAACCAAGAGCCTGTTTTATGGGGCACAAGTACTCCAGAATTGAAGCCTACACCCTACCTTGTACTGAAGACAAAGGAACCAGTATACAAGCAGTGATCACACTGACTTTGCTCTTTAAACAAAGAGGAATCCCAGGGAACTCCCTCAGTCAAATTACAGAGATGCTGTTCCTGAAAGGCTGAGCAATAAGGCTGGGAGGAGACCAATAAATACATCTTGTACATGCACTCTAGGTCTTCTGCAGGTGTTCGTGGCTCTAATTAGGACTTTTTGGCTCCAAGCTCCTGCTTATGTACAAAAGATAAAGCTCATGGTGTTGTAGCACACTGCTGACAAAGGAGCTTTTTAGTTATCAACCATGTTTGCTTAAATAGTAGTTAGAAAGCCCATACTTCCAGTGATCTTGCTTCGGTGCCTTAGAAGTTGTTAGGAGGTGGTTAATAAAACACTGGGAATTTCCACTTGCTTGGAAAATTGCATTCTGTGTTCACAAGGGATAGAAATGGGCTAAACTACTTTCCTGATCAACCCATGAAGGGCCTTGCCTCGAAAGTTACCTACATACTGCTGTACACAATGTTATCACCCTACAAGGGCAGAATGAAACAAACAAAAAAAATTGAGTGACTTGACCAGAGGCACAGATGAGGTTACTGGAGGAGCCAGCTACAGGTAATAGATTTCCTAATTCCCTTTCTTCTCTGTCTCAGCCACCAGAGAATGCAGCCTTCAGAAGTTCAGAAGATGTGCTTCACCACGCAAAAGAAATACAATAACTTTTCAGCGTATTTTCTACGCCATTTGAGCTGGATTGCAACACGCCAAGTGAGCAGGTCAAGTTAAACACTGGATATTCCAGCCATGAGCATGTCTCTGCCCCAAACCCCACAGGCTGCTGGCTCTACACAGAGCCCTCCATTGACCACCAAGGCTAAGCAATACACACAACCCACTCCATAGCTCTGGTACGATGCTTTCACTCCCCACAGTTAACACCACAGTCTCCGTTAGAAGCACAGCAAGTACTCAACTTTCCTGCTAGTCAAAGCAAAGAACCTTTTAATTCTCAGTCTATCTTCTCAATCTGGCTTAAGTATCACATCAAATTCAAGAGACAGTCAACTGATTTTGTTCCCCTGGCTCCATTTCCTTCCTTTAATCTGATGTAAAATTGTGCTTACAGAGCAATAAGATGAAACTTTTAATGCCTCACACATGCTGATGGGAATGCAGAATAGCATTTTCAGCAATTTCCCCTTAGCAGTTCTTTTTTGTATAGTCAAAATAAATAAATCTGGAATCTAGATTCAAAGAGCTAACTTTTTTCTCCATTCCCTATTCTTTTTTCTTTTTTTTTTAAGAAGAGCATTCTGTTCATCAGCACACAAGTAGATTCATCCCCCACCACTTCCAGAGCAACTGTCAAAACTGGGATTTTCACAGCAAACTGACACCCCAAAGACCAACAGAACAATCCAGTTCCAGTGTTGAAAAGAAAAAGGCTCAGTCACCTTTATAAAAACATCGAAGTCATTGTAAATCTTTATAAAAATGTAAATTTGTAATTATCATTGCAATTGCTGAATTATCCGTGTCTACATTGAATACGAGTAATTTTCAAGTTAAAATTTAAAGCCATCTCCTTTTTTTATGTCATCCTCTAAATGATGCCATTCTTCAACAGAAGCACTGTTAAATTAAGATGAGAAAAAATGGCTTGAATACTCATATTATCTCCTCTGAAATTACATGGCAAAGCCTGATAAGCAGGTTCACACACAGCCGGTGTCTGCGTGGTGCTGTAAGTACATCAGTAATTGCTGAGTGGCCAGGGGCAGTGCAGGAGGAATTACGAGGTGTGGATGTGAGCATCTCCACCCCTTTTCTAATGAGGAAAAGCCATCTTCAGAGTATGATGCTAAAGAGATGGAAAGGCCTCACCTTTAGCAGAGGCTAGTAAGGAAACAGAATGATTCAGTTCCGAAACATCAGGAAAAGAAATTGGGTGAAGAATGAGGAAACCATCTACATACCCAGACATGGCCACTGCTGCACTGCAAAAGCTCAGAGAAAGGGAAAAAATATTCTTCTGCCTTCTGCAATAATTGCTCTGTTCCGAGCAACTGAAAGGGGAGGTATTCCAGTAAGGACGGCAAGCGACTGATTTGCTGTAATCCTCAGAGCAGAGATGCCTCCTTCCCAACACTCAGTGACCCAGGAAAGATAGGGAGAATTTCCAGATGGTTTTGTGGGTGGCTGATGTTCTCCAGAGGATTTTGCAGGTCCATAAATCCCATAATCCTAAAAATCCTTGGAAGCTATGGAAGGGATCAATCTGAGAGCTCCTCCCAGCATTACTCCAGAGTGGTTGAAGGCACAGGGCTGAGACCTTTGGAGAGAGGAAAAGGACAGCCATTATATGAGAGCAGCCACGAGGAAGTAGAAAGCACAGGCTCTTCCCACCTATCTTATTCCCATGCAAACTCTTTCGATTCACTTTTGCACAGGAGGAAGTTTTTAGGTTTGTTTGATTTTTTTTTCACTTTTCTCCTTTTTTCATTTGTTTCCCTATTAGCCTGGTTTATTTAAACACACTGAGCATAGGCTCCATGGGACCACCATCTCCAGAGGCTCACAGGTCCCAAGTGATGTGAAACAAAGAGGACTATAAAACAACAACCAAAACAAAGGTCACCTAACCAACACATCCTTCCAAAACCCTTTTGACTGGGGAAAGGAGACAGTTTTCTTTCTCCTTTTTTACTTTTTTTACCCTAATTACATGTTTTCTCCAGCAGGGAAGAGAAGGCAGTAAAAGGCTGCTTGGAAGCAGCTGAGCGGGACTTTCTGCCTTCCTAATTTCAGAGAGAAATGACCATCTAAAGCAACTCTGGGTTGAAGTGGAGGAAACAGCCCCACGTATCAGCTGGATACAAACCCTAACACCTTGGGAGCACTCAGCTCTGCAGTAAAACAACTGTTTGCACTTCCTAACAAGTCAAGTACACCTCCACGTTCAAATGAAATAAAAACCTCTCAGCAAAGTGGCTTCAAATGCCCAGGGAATTAGTCATAAAAATTCTAGTTATTCAATGTGCATAAAGCCATCAAAATTTGTTTTGTTTTGTTTTTCCTTTTAAAACCTGATATTACTAACAGTGCTGGGAATCAAGTTGCTGGGACTTTTGTTTGTGATTTTAAGATAAGAAAGCTATCACACAAACTCAGTCAATTGCCAGGCCCGGAAATAATGCTTTGCAAGCAGTGAAAGGAAACTCAAATAACTCCCTGCCCAACATTGCTTTCTAGTTCATCTGTCATAAAAACAGCAGAGAGCAGCTCAGAGCCAAAAGATTTCTTTTTGCTTTGTTTTAGCTCTAGCAGCACAGAAAGGTGATATCATTGTGTATTGCAACCAAGCAAATGAGTAATGAAAGTGCAAGCACATACATTAAATAAAAGGTGTTATAAGCATTTGTTTTGTTTTGCTAATTGTGTCAATGAAGTCCTATCCTCAAACAGATGAAACGCAATCAGAAATAAAAAATAGAAGGAAAAACCAAGTGAATAATTCAATGTTCAGAATACTTTTTTTTTCCCCCGTTTAAAACTTTGGAGAAACCCATGCTTATTATAAACAGCATTCCACTCGCATCTATTTACATCACATTCAGTATGCAACCTGCCTTTAATCAAACCTTCTTCCTCACTAAGGAAGACAACAGAATCACCTTCTCTGCTTTGTAAATACACAGGCTTAACATAGCCCCAAGCTAACCTGAGTCACAGTTGCCACCAGTAGGACTGATGACACTGTAACTCACTGAAATCTGGTGTCTTCCCAGTGTATTTAAGCTGCTGACTACAAAATATGTCACTCAAATCAGTGAAAAGCAATTTTAAGTCTTCCCTCAAGTCTTCTAGTTCTTGAAACCAGAAACCTGCATGGTCTCATTGCTTCTTTGGTATTCCAGAGATGGGTAGAGCTAACAAAATAGCCCCATATCATGTCCCACCTAAATGACACAAACATTCAGAGCCTACCAAAAATGTGAGCTGATAAAAAAATCTTAGGAAAGGATGTGATTGCCCGAAAATAACTCCCATCCTATTCATCATATAGCAAATCTCAGTCACTCTGATGATTGTACAACACTTAAAATGCCTGTAATACGTATTTCTCCACTAAAAGAACATTTGCCTGAAACCCTTGAGCTGTTTTTTCTCTAAACTAATTATTTACAAAATATGTGCATGCCAACTGATAAAAATCCATCACCAGTCACCACTGTGCCAGGAGGAGCAGGGCTTCTGTTCTAGCTCACTGTACACACTTTCACCAGGAGATGAGTCAAAGAAACAAAAGGAAGAAAATACACAAATTATGCTTTTCCTGCTCTTCCTCTTGGCATTATTTGCCTCCAAAGCCAGCTGGGACCCTGCCTGAAGCAGGGGTACAACTAGATGATTTCAAGAGGTCCCTTCGAACCTCAACATGCATTGAAGGGTTGTCAGTCAATTCTGTGATTCTGGGTAGCAGCAGGCCCTGAGGCTAAGGAGCAGCTACGGGCTGTTTGCTCCATTATGCCCACATAAATGTCCACCTCTTTCTAGATAGGCATTAAGAGTCGGAAGAACTGATAAACCAGTGATACATGTTCATTTTAAGCATATTCTTTTGTGGTATGGCAGACACAGCACTGATGTGCTCAACACCTTCCCTTCTAGGCTGTGAGGACAGGATACAGGATGTCCCAGCATGGGATGCAGATGACATTCAAGCTCTTGCGGGAAAAACCCGAAAAGTCAACTTTTTAGTTAATTTCACTTTGCCCTTAAAATCCTGCATGCATCTGCCCTGAAGACCTCAACTCCAGCTCCAGTGCTTTGCATTCCAGGCTTACAGCAGCCTCCTGCTTCCCTCACAAATTAGACGTCTAAGCAGTGACAAACACCTACAGGTCTTGCCCAAAATAACATAGAGAAAGTCATGCAGCAGTACATCTACACTGCAAGTGACAGTCCAGCATCTGAGAAACACATTCCTTCTTCTCATCCCTCAATGAATAACAACTCCGGCACTTGATCAGCAGGGCACAGTTCAGCCACCCACACTGGGCAAGCCTGGCTCCAAATAAACACAGCATAGGCTGCAAAATACAGCAGCACTGAGAGCCCACAGCTCCTTCTCAAGGGCAGCAAGACCAAGTCATATGAGCTGAAGGAAAACAGCAGCAAGCAGAGCACTGCAGAGTACCCCAGAGAGCCTCAGATGATTAATAGCCGAATGAAAAAAAAAGAAAAAAATAGACTTGCTGCTAATTAAGAAATACAGGGGAAAAGAGAAACGAATAAGGACTTCCACCTGTTAAATATTTACCATTAAAGGGTCCCAAGTGCAATGTCTGTTTTAAAAAAACAAAGGGTGTTTTTTGTGCCTGTGTTTTTGGCTTAAGGAAAAGACTGTTTTTCCACTTCAGCTTGTTCATTACAACCCAACCATGTGAGCTAAGTGCAGTGAGGGACCTGTAAAACCTCAATATCTGCACCAGATTACTACAGCAGGAACTTTATTATGGGCACAAGAGCAAGCAGGGCTTTTTGTCTCTGCTGTTCCTGTCCCACATCCAATGTGCTCCAAACTCACCCCTCCAAAACACAGCAAAAGTCCCAAAATGGCCCCTCTTTATTTTCCTATGCAGAAACAAATTTTTTGATGCCCAGTTAAGGAAAACAAAAGAAAAAAAAAGTCTTTTATATTTTTCTGCAAATTCTCCTCTTTTAAGCAAAAGGTTGCAGGTATATTTACTGAAAGGCAGCGGTGGAGGCTGTGAACCACCGCAGGACACAGTCTGTCCTCTCTCTTACCTGGGCCACTGCTGGGGTCAAGCTCATGTGTTGGCCAAACCTCCCAGGCAGCAGATCCAATTCAGCACAGTGCGTAACTCAGCCACCACGGGGAATGGATTTCTCTAGGTGTGGTGAGCTCAGTGACAGAAGGAGAAGGAAAGGATCAAGCTGGACTATCCTTGCCCTTGCATCGGCACCCAGCTGGTTAACTAATTCAACCCATCTCCGAAATCTCTCCCCAGCTGCTACCACCCTGCTCTCAAACACAGAATTTCAGAAGAGATATAGACTGAACCCAGGAAATGGAGACATTCCAGGTCAACAGGGCTTGTGTTTTTCATCAGCGAGGCAGTGTATGGTCTGAACTCATTTACTTTAAGGAGTCATGGAAGGACACCAGCGTTTGTCTGAACATCATATTTACATCCTTATAAAAGAACAATCGAGAAAATCCTATAAACAAAATACTTCAAATATTCTGTTGTTTGTTTGTTTTCCAAAAAAATAAAGGCAGCTGCTCCCTTTCACTCTCACTCAGAAGCACCACATTCTTAGAGTGACCTGTCTGCTTTTGAAGGGTTCACAGGTTTGACCGACTGCCACATCCAGGCAACCTGTAGAGAGAGGGCTTTGGCTCCTGCATCAGAAAATGCAGCTATGGTAGGACGTGATTAATATGGGAAGTGCACCTCACAGGGGCTCCACCAGAACACCCAACTAGCAACACAGACCAGGAGATGACCCCAAGAGTCAGTCAACTTGCCTGTTGCATCAGTCTGAGCTATCCTTGTGTGGATTGCCAAAGCCACCATTTGCATTACACAGTATTGTAGGAAAACGATGTGAAAACCACAACCATCTATCATGTCCCATCCTACCACTCTTTGCTCTAAAAAGTAAGTTCTGTAGATGCCAACCAAATCAGGTTCAAAGGAGAACAACAAAAGCAGGAGTATCCTCCAGTGAGTGGGAACAACCATGTATGCTTTGTTCAATGACAGGGCACTGGATAAAACAAAAAACAGAGTTCTAAGGACTGCTGATTCTTGTGAGACTTCTCAAGGAAGTGCACTTTTTACACCTATATGTTCCACGTTCGGTATTATTACATTAACTCTTCCCCATAACCATTCAGGACTCCTCAAACATGTCCTAGATGTCCATACTTGATGGCTGGGTCTATATCTTGACCCAGCTCTAACTAGTGACTACCACGCATCATTTTTCAAAGCTTAATGGTTCAAAAGCACGATTTTCCTTGGTGCAAGCCAGACCTCCAGAAGTCCTTGCCAGCACAGTTCTGTGAGCAAAGTCCTTCTCCAAGAAGACCCTGGGCTGAGGAAAACCAGGAGCTATGAATGCCATGGCTGCCTTCAGCTGTATCTTACAGGAGGGACCATCACCCATTGCTTACATTGCTACAGAAGTGCCACATGACAAGCGTAACATTACTGAGTCGGTGTTTATCTTGGTAACCCCACAACTGAGATGGGAATTCATTACTTCTGAAAGGCCTTGGTGAGTGCGCTCTGTGCGCGT